AATCAGCTCCTGTGGCAGCGAGAGTTAATCGTTGTAGCTCGATCATGTCGATGATTGGGAGGACGGGGATTCGATTCCCATCGGGAGGGGTCGAAAATTGCCTGATGTTTGTAACATCGCACGCGATCGAATTCGTAGCCGTGTGCTCTGCTCAGCGATGTCGGTGGTTTCCTAAACACTTTCAAGTGAATTGAGGAGAACCCTTCGAGCGGAACCCTGGGGACCACCAACTGCACGCGGCCCTTCCTCCCCTTCCTCCCCTTTCCTGTCCCTGTCCCTGTCCCTGTCCATGTCCATGTCCCTGTCCCTGTCACTGTCACAGTCACTGCCTGGAAGACAATTTTATTGTCTGGTTTGCCTGATCGGTAGTTTTCCCTGGTTTCTCTAATCAATGTCAGGCGAATACCGGAGCAGTACCATCACAATCGGGCCAATGCCCGCCCACGACCTTTCCTTCTTCCTTTCCTCGACCCTTTCTTACACAAACGCTTACGTGCACTACACTAGCGCTCATGCCGGGCGTCCGGTTGGGCGTTTAGACCTTGCCGGCTGGGGTGGTGCGCCGCTGGTGGGAGATACCTGGTTGTGGAAAACTCAGTCGACGTAGGTTGGCGCCAGCTCTCAGTATCCAGTGGGGGATGATCACCGCGCTATCCCGCGATAAAATAATGTACTACACATACAGGAGCAATGTCTTCAACAGTTGATGCGCCCAGAATCACTATGCAACGAACCAACTAACAAATTTCCTGTCCCCATTCTGTATCAAGCAATGGGCTACTCATTTATCCTCGAATGGCTCACCCTGCTCTAGAGAATCTCCGGCATGCATCGAGGATGTGGAATACATCTTACGCGCTGAGGGTACCCACAGGCACTTGTTGGTGAGATGTTCGAAAAAATTTACGTTGTCTATCACTTAAACAAGCAACGCCTTTTAAATGGCTCCGTCGGTTTTTATTTTGCCTATTTGAAGCAGAATGTAACTATCTCTTTCTTTCGGGAATGACGTTGCTAACTTGTAAGAAAGTCCTCTTTGCCTCCCTTAAAATGAATTCCTCTTGAAATAACGTGAATATAAAATGCAGTTGTCAATTTGGTAGCAAGATGTAATATAATATTCATATTCTAGTATTGATACATAATCTGAAATGATAACGATTGTTGAAATGCGAATTGAAGAGATACGTTTTTTCAATTTTTGAGAAAAGTAATTAAAAATATATTACTCTTTCTTGAATCTTTTAAGAGCAACTTTGTTGATCTTCAGTCTATTCATTCATATTTAAACACAATATTTCAATGTATATAGATTTCATATATCCAGATAAAGTAAATTCAAAAGTTCCAGTAGAAATTCAGGATTATAAATTCATTTATTATAATATTTGTGAATTATTATCTGACAAATGAACTTTATTTTATTAAAATTAATATGTACAAAAATTATTAAGTATATTCGAGCTTACCTTGATTGTATCCTTTGATTTCAACATTTATTTGTGAATTGCAATTAATGATTAAATCGGGGAGGTGTTTTAAGTATTCTTAGCGTGAAAAGAAGATAAAAATATTTAAAACAATGGGGTGTGATTTTATCATACGTGAGTTTTAAAATAATGCCATAAGGTCATATAAAATATTAAATTTTATCGTACTTGCACATTAAATATTCAGATACATAATAATATTATGAAAATGATTTATTTGTGAAATTATCAGTGTAACAAAATTTAAATATGCATGTAAAACTTCATGTCGCCGCCGAATGATATTTAAAGTTTTTACCTGAATTTCCGCACAAGAACTGCTTCTAAAACTAGAGCTCGCGATTACTTACCGCGACAACTGCTAAGACAATCACGACGCAAAACATGGTAGATGAATTGCGCCAAACTGAATAGCAGTCGACGTCATAAGTATCCAATATGTACTGCTTTCCTGTTGTTACTGCCACCTAAAGAAAATCAAAAGCTGTATTGGGAGATTATTTGATTAGAAAATTAAAGATAATAGAGTTAGCAGACGAAATGGTTGACATAGATTCCTTCTTCTGACAAGAAGGGGAAAAATGTAATGTTAAAAGGAAGAGTCAAGGGGAGAGAGACAGCAACTTCCATGGGTGGTGGGCTTTCGAAATCAGTTGCACAACTGGGTCGCATTAGTTCACTGCCCGGACAAAAATTCTAGAGGCCTTCGGTTATAATCTGACATTTTCATTTAATCGTCCATTGACTTAGAAAGATTTGATGGGGTAGTATCTTACAGATTTATGTACAGCTACTATTCTTTCTTTCCAATTCTATTAAATCTTATTAATAAGAAAGAGACGACACTGCCTACCGAACGCCGGCGGAGATAACGTGAAACTACATAGTTATTGAAATTTCACTTGATATTCTGTAATGATGTTTGAAGGGATTACGATCCGTAAGTGCCATCAATAACAACTGCATCGATAACTGGTTTGAATGCTTCCAAAAGCACACCAGAACAATAATTGTATTGTGATGTTGCAAAAGATTTCGAATGATAAATATTTTACATATTGCTGGGACAGAACAAGTAACAATGAAGGTGCCGAACAAATTCGAGGCCCAGCAAATTTGAAACGCAGATTTTGATTTTTTTTGCATGTGGAGAGGGTACTTTATATAAAGCCTTAAGTTGCGTTCACAAGAGACACTTCTTTCAGAGACAAAATTCCCGACAATGATTGGGAACAGAATGTCCTCTTCAGAACAAGCATGGAATTGGTTGCAGGTCGCGTATTGAAGATCTGCGACATCGGAATTCACTTTCTTGTGTTGACGAATACTCGTGACGGTCAACTGTCCGACATTCAGTATCTGAAGTTAGGAGTCGCTGAACATTTTTTGTGTGAGGCAATTTGTTGAACTAGTTCTTCATGAGCCAGTCGAACAAGCTCTAGAGCCCAGACCAGCTCGAAAAATTAATTTCATTGTACAAGAATTGACCAATTTGGTGGGATATTAACTGCAAAGAGTATATATAATTAGATAATGAACGTTGTAAGAAGTGTATTATTGTGTATAATACTATTATTTATAATTATATAGAAAAATGTGCATAATATTTGTTTATGGGTAAAGTTACTATTTATACTATTATTAATCAATAAAGCTTGAAATATTAATTAATTTCTAACTTAGTATTTAGCATGTACTAATTATAATTGCATGAAGATACTTCATACAATTTAAAAAGAATATTCATTGTAACACACAATTATGTACCTTAGAATCAATATTTAATTGTTTTTATCACGAATACAGATTTGATGTTTCTAATACATTATTTTCATGTTATATTAACCTCAACTGGTGAATCTTAAACACACTATCATATCTGATGAAAGGAAGCGAAATGCTACCACCAACTTTTCGTGAACAGAAATCACTTGCCCCAGTATTGTGTCTTCCTTTGAAACATAAGTAATCCACAATGTCAATTCTTCTTACTTGTGAGGAAAGAAATCACAGAAAATTTCTAAACTGCAACGGATCTTACACTCGCGATTCATTCAGTAAAAAATGATAATCACAGAGTTGTTCACGTCTACCTATCCACTATATTGTTCACAACTGAACTCTTTTCCCCTCTTATTTTGGAAATAATCGCAACTGCAATCGCTGCTGCGATAACTTGACAGGGAGCCAAATGTTATACGTGTCTACGAGTGAACGGTCCGGATACTTTCTGCACACTTGTCCAAGATATTTTTAGCACACAAGGTATCTGCCATTTAATTTTACTTTGTGTGCTCATTGAACATCAGTGATGTTTATACGCGACACTGCAGTGTTACATGTTGGCAATAAAGTGTAAACGCCCCTTTAACCTATTAATCCACAAATAGGACCTTGGACCAACGCGTTATTATTGCGGTGTTAACAGGTTCTGCCGAATGTGTCTGACGTGAAAGTATGCTAGATGCGCTGAGCGACTTAGGGTGCGATTTTCTTCGTTTTCACCCAACTTTTCAGAAATCGAGTTCACAAGGCCCGTCCGGCTAATGTTTAATACATTCTAAGAATGTGTTAAGTTTGCGTTTTATCTCTTTGATTATTGCTTTCTCATAATAACATGTTAACAATAATGCTAATAATACTAACATAAGTTTATTGACGGTGAAGGGTGTAAGGCATCTGTTTTCCCCCCATTTAGAATAAAGATATATTACAAAATTAAAATATTACCTCTAATCTTAATCAGTTGGTTGAGAAGTGAAGTTTAGAAGTATTCTT